TAAAAAACAAGGAAGGATGCCAGCTTCGGCGAGTCGAAGTTTATATACCCTTCTCTATAAACGATAACGATTTTGTCATAAATATTTTCTAGATTTTCCACCGATTATTCCTACGACAGCTATATAATATAGTCGTCGGATATTCACTTTATTTTATTTGAAATTCAAGAGTCGTTAAAAAGTTTTCTATTTAAAAAAAACATGCTTATAGAAAAAAAGCAACGATGTTATAATTTTGTTCCATAAACATAATATTCTATAAAGATTGCTTTAAAACTGAGAAATAAGTGTACATAGAAATAGGCAAACGAAGATCGATTCGGATGGTGATGCTGACCAAGAAGATATATACATACCATAAATGTCTCAAAACTTTCGTCTGAAATTAGAATACCTCTTGCAAGAGTATTTAAAAATAAGAGAAAGGCAAGAGATTCTTTTGATTTAGTGCTGTCTGTCTCCAGTAGACCGCGCTGCAGTGGTGGGTGGTGATGGGCGGGGAAACTTCCTTTGTGGGCGTGGCCAGACAAAGGGCGTTGGCAATTAATTTATGAGGCCCACTTAACGCACACAAACACCCAGGCATATTAATTAATTACTGTGATTTCTTTTAGCGCGTTTGCTTTTTTGCTCTCGCCTTTTTTCGCTTACCCGCCCACCAACCTATACCGATCCGCCACGCCCCCTTTTCCTTCATCCGCTGATTTATGGCAGTCGACTGCTCTGCTCTCAGCGTATTTACTGCTTATTACAGAACGGCAGCAATAACAAAACACAGTGAGCTGCTGAAAAGGGGGGCGGGGAGGAGGGGGAAAAGGGGGGCGGGGAGGAAATTGTGGGTCAGCTGGCAGCCCGCGGAGGTCGCAGATACAATTTACCTCGTTGCCATTGCCGTTTTGTTGGCTCTACTTTGTTTAGCTCTTTAGTGCTCGGCAATTGCAGATCGGTTGGGTATATCCCTTGGCCCCTGGATTGGAATGGATCGTCATTTGACCATATCTGCAATATTGAATACACTTCTTCTGCACTGAAAATCTGAGAACAATAGCTACTGCTTTTGCTGTTTAAGGGATACGTATGTATACCAGGTATCTTATATCCAATAAATCTGAAAACGTAGCTCGCAACTTGTTCGTTCGTTTTGTTCTTCTAACTGACTGTTTTTCCCACAATGTGCTTTGTGTGCACGTGGCTCGCCTTCGAGTGCCCATTGTCCTGCCAGCCGCCCATTTTCGCCCACGCTCGCCTACTTTCCCACTTTCCCGCCCACTTTTTCTCATCTCTTTTCTTCCGGGCCAATTGTCAACTGGCCAAGAACAACAAGCGACTGGCGAGAAGAATGGCCACGAGAGCAGGAACAACAATCAGTTAAGTTATCCTAAATAAACACATTTTCCAAGCACGCAGCGCCAGCGTTTTCCATCCCCCCCCCCAAAGGAAAACTGTGGGGAAAATTTGTTTTTTGGTCCTTGCAGCAGGCAAACTGTTGCTTTGGATAGAAGCGAAAAACCAAGGCTAAGGCTAAGGCGTTGTTGTCCAGGTTTCAAATTAAACTCGAAAGAAAAACAAATTAGGCGAACGCCGGACACAAAGCGTTCGTCGTCTGGTGTTTGCGTTTGCCCAGTGGGAAAAAGGAAAAAGGGGGGCTTGGCGGGGGATTGGTGGCAAATTAAAAGATGTCCCCCGCCGACTGGTAATTGCCGGGCATTCTAGAAGAAATATAAGGAGAAAGCTGCCCGGAATTTCCACATAATGAACAGAGTGGCTTGACTTATGCCCGGGCATTTACATGGATTCCCAGACAAATAGCTCGGCCTCTTCAAGGTTTCAAGGTTTGCCTATCATCAATCATGGCCTGCACTTCAGCCTTGCTCTTGGAACTTGGAACTCCCCTTGAGTCCTTCTACAATCGATCTATATCCATCGATTGGAGCCAGCCGATGGGTGTGTGGCAGGTGGCTTAATGCCAGCGATTTGTGTCATCTGCATATTTCATCAACGCATATTCTATTGCGCTCTTTTAGCCAAGTTATTGCAGTGCGTCGAGTGTGCGAGTAGTAGTGCAATGTGTCTGATTGTATATAATATATATAGGCACAGCAGTACAGTGCGTTTCATACTGGTAGTGGAGTTGGTGTTTTTCGGTTTTATTTTCGGTGTTATTTTGCAACAGCAGCCAAAGGCCTAAGACCTCTTTTCCCGCTCTGCTTCGAAACTTAAAACAAATCTGCTTTGTCGTTTTGAAACGCGCTTTTTATTCTGCATTCCAGTCCTCAAATATATATATAGTACTACATACACGACTGTAAATAGGTCAGCATACTGCTTAAAGTTTGGCTGAAACGCCTGCAAAAACCTGGCAATGTGGAAGGCGTATGCAAATGACCATATCTGTGGGGAGATATGAACGACGAACGTTCGAAGCTCATGTATAAAACGCACTGAGCTTAACAAAAAATATGTGTACACTTGAAACAAAGGCTTTTGCAAATGTTCAAAAATATTTGCCGAGCCTTAAAGTCTTGCTTTGGCCAAACATTCACCCTTACTTATTAGTTATAAATTTGTACAGCTTTCTGTTGAAATAAAAAGTGATTTGAAATCACTAGAGATTTCTCTTGCCTTCGTCCTTTCTGTACATATATGCATATGAGTAAATAGATAAACCCGCCCGTTCCTGCGACCCTTTTTCCAGCCACGCCCATCTTCCGTCCGTGATTGTATGCATTATTGATGCAAAAAGGCCGTCGGCGGAGTCGTCTGTGAGGCCCACTGTCCCTTCTGCCCACTGTCCCATTGCCCATTGCCCATTGCCTTGCTTGGTCCCATCATCAGAGGAGGAAAGGAGAGGACGAGGGGGACGGGGAGTGGGTGGATGGTGGGTGGATCAGAGCGGAGGTGGGCGGATGAAATGGGGGCAGAGCTGCTCTCGCACAGCCCATTTCATTTTTAATAGTTTCAGTCGACGGACGTCGGCGGCGGCATTTCATTTGCCGTTTGTTTACTTGGCAAACTGGGTCTCGTCTCGACCGCTCCCCCCCCACTCCCCTCCACTCCTCTCTTCCTCCTCTGCCATGTGCTTTTCCCCGACCCGACCGTGTCTTGCATTTTCCGCAAATCAAACAGAAAACGCAACCAAAATAAGGAAAAAAATGGGCAAAGGCAAATGTATGAAATTTGCCTCTCTGTTTCGGTTTTTCTTTTTTGTTTTTTTTTTTGTTTTGTTCCTGAACATTTATTGTTGATTTATGCACTGCAGCGCTCACTTTAAAACAGTCACGTTTTTGATGAACCTTACCTTTCTGAAATCATTTCCAATTAGCCCGCCATCTGCAGTTTTGGACCCATTTTCCAATTTAATACAATCACAAAAGAGAAATAGGTAGGTAAATACGCAATTTGCCATTACGGTTGATCTCCTGCCAATTTTGAGAAAAGCTGATCGCCTCGTCATCGTTATGTCAATTGAGTGATGTCACATGAAGCAATCGGGCATAAAATAAACAAATGGCGAGCGCCACACACAGATACGCACTACTACAGGGATAAGTACACACTGACAACGGGATATTTTCCGAAGGATTCAAGGCTCTAAGAGTAGGGAACTTGAGCTGTTCGACAAAATCTAGCTTTTGTTATTTAAAAAATACTTTTATTATTTTACAATCTACTCCTGATCTGAAAAATTGGATTGGATGCGCCTCGCTTAAATTTTCCATCGACCTCTTTTGTATGTCCTGAATATTTTATACTGAAGAAAAACTGTATAAAAACCGATTGCAGTAAATTCAACAAAGTCTGTAATAAATTCAAACTGGAAACTTTAAGGACCTTAAAGGCTTAAAAAGTGACACATTTGTCGCCTGCTGCATTGTGCATGTCTGCGTGCGAGTGTGTGAGTGTGTGCGAGTGTGTGCGTTAATCTATTCATATTTTATGTCCGTCGTACGCCATAAAATCACAATAAATGCCAAGTCCCCCAGCCAAATCCGAATCCGAAGGCGAAGATGGTGCCATGTAGACATACTATATAGTCCATATATAGATGTACAGCTATATAGCTGCATCGCTATAGATATATAGATATAGACGAGACCTCGGGCTTAAGCCAAGCATGCATACCCTGCACATTTATATATAGTCGCAGTCGTAGTCAAAGTCATAGTCTGGTGGCTGTAAAACAGGATTTGCATGGCATCCCGGCCAGATTTGCATGCATATGGCGATGGCGATGGCGGCAGTAAGTTTGACATTGTTGCTCATTGTGAGCAACGAGCTGCGTCTAATGCAAATGCACAAATGCGATTTATGACAAGCGAGAGGCATCAGCGGATATGTACGGGTGTACGAACTCGTTTCGGTTGTTGGGGGGGACTTTGGTGGGCAGATAGTGCCCATATCCCCACTAACACTAACATGGAGCGCCCTGTTTTTGCCCTCACACTCGAACACGCATAACTCGGCCAAAACCCCCCTCCCCCTTCCAATCCCCCCTCCTCCCTCCGTGTCATCCATCATTCGGCCTGTCTGTCAGTTGGCCCATTAACGCCCCGGGGATGGGACCTCCGCCCTCCGCCCCCTCAACTTGGCCAGAATAACCTGGGCCATGGTCATGTGATACGGCTTAGTTCAACATTTGTCTCCCGCCAGCCAGCCAGCTTGACTCCCGCCGTGGAAATTCAATGAAAAAATGTTTGATTAATTGTCCCAAAATGGGAAATGTTTACCTAGTTCTTGGTTTCGTTTACCAATGGCTTACGCGCCGAATGGACTGGATTAACGCTCGATAGACATTAAGTTCGCTCCGGGTGGGGATGGGGATGGGGATGGGGAAAAGCTGATATTGGCCTTTTTACAAATATCCGTAAGCCAGGACAACAAGGGTTAGTTACTTTTTGTTAAATTATGGGTTATTTTAGAAATTGCTCGTGGCGCGGCTTAAGTTACACGGATGCAACAAATCTGACATGACAATTCTGACATTTTGTTTGTCTTTTCAGGGTCTATTATTTTCTCGAGCTCCGCAAAGGTAAGCACTATTATTTGTATATACCCATATGGTATTTCCTGTTTATAATATATGCAGCTTTAAATGACTTATTTAAAGAACTGTCAGTCAACTCTTAAGATTATCTTGTCTGCTTTTTGCATTAAACGCGCGATGAAGGGCTTTGGTTTATAGTACATTTTCCTAATTGGTTCTAAGCCTCAACCGATGGTCCCTGTGAGAAACGCAGTGGAGAGGAGCGGCGATCATTGTCTGCAGTTTTAAAGCAGGTTTCCCGGAATACTTCCTGCCCTTTTGTACCCAGCTCTCTTGTATCTGGGAAAGTATTCGATTTAAATATTTTATCGGTGGGAGTTTGCATCTCGCTCTCGCTTTCGCTAGAGGGAGGAGGGAGGAGGGTTTTGCAACCTTATTTTTTGGAGTTACCTGCTACATCACTCCCCTCAGCACTCGCCCCCCAGAGAGACTGTTGCATTATTCATTAGGGCTGGTGGAGAGAGAGAGAGAGAGGGAGAGAGAGAGAGAGAGGGAGGTGGCCCTGGCCCGACTAACAACTTCCGGGCGGGGAAATTGGAATGGTTGGAATGGGGCGAGTACGAGGGGAACGAGGGGATCAAGGGGTACGGCATTGGGGGGAAGGCAAGAAATGGAATGGAACGGAACGGAATGGAATGGCTGGGCAGCGGAAATTGCAAGCATAGTCAAATAATGAATCGCACACAGACAATTACTGAGGATGAGGGGTGGAAGGGGGGAGTCTCTTTGAGAAAGGTGGTCAAATCAGCACACTTGTCAAACATTCTGATGGACACTTGAATGGCGACGACGGAGAGGGAAATGCGAAGAAAGGGAGGAGGGAGAAGTGAAGGCCACTTTCTGGCCAAATTGCTTTTAAGAATTATGCCTTCCCTGTTTTCACGTTTATCTTTTTTTTTTGCTTTTCTTTTCTTTTTTCGAATGGAAGGTTCCATTGACTCTTTGTTAAATGGCTAAGAATAGTCTTTGATGGAGATATGTGTGTATATATGTTCCATGCGACATGAAATATGTATGGTGTGCACTCCCCTGATAAAAACATATTCATAATCGTAGGGGCGGCATATTGAGCATACGCCATGTGTGCCGTTTTGCGGAGGCGGAGGACAGCAGTCAGCCGATTTGGCGCCGCCTGCTGTCAACGCCGTCAAGTTCCATTTCCTCCGCCACTTTCAAGTGGTGTACACCGAACATCCACTCAGCTGGGCACACATGCCGCACCACGCACCACGCACCGCATACCACCATATCAATTCCTGGCCATATCTAGCGATATATAACATACGAGTATCGCTGGCTATGCACACAAATGATTTATTTATTTATTTGCTTATTGCCAAATGCCAAAATGACGCAGCTGCCACGATATCGTACTCGTACTCGTACCAGTCCCTCGCAATACCGAACCCACACCCACACGGATCTATTTTCCAATTGCAAATTGCAGAGCTGGCTAAAAAAAGCATGTTTTAACCTACGCCAAAAACAACACGCTTTTCCCGCCAAATAACTTGATTGAGCGGCGAATAGAACACATGTTTGATTTCCTTTTCGCTTCTTTTCGGGAGTTGATGGGAATTTATCCTTTTGGCGGGGTCCAGTGTGTACCAATCAGTGACACATGCAAGTAGATCGATCAAATGCGTTTCGCAGCATTTAAATTCAAATATGTAGTTGTAAGCAAAAGCAAACAAAAGTAAACATAATTTACAATCCAGTCGCAACACTTTCACACGGTTCATCAAAATTGTAACTCCCTATAATGTATGAGTATCACCTGCCGTCGGCACTCCTTTTCACCCGAGTGGGTTGTAATTAAATTGCCATATCCGAACAGTTCAGATTTACAGATTTATAGCCTTTGTCCATGCATATATCATTCGCACAATTGGAAACACGGATGCACAGCCCCCTTTGGAGAATCCCCTAGACAATTAGAGAATCTCTATTTGACAGACTGAAGAATGAACTCGCTGCCTGGCTGCAAGTTCTGAGTTTTGGGAAATTGCCTCATTTCCCGACTTTGCCGGGAAAGTTGCTGTCCTGCTGCCCCTCCTCGTTGCGTTCGCCATTAATTACGAGCTGAGCCAGAAGCCAGAGCCAGTTTCGGTAGATCATTAGTCCACTTGCTAATGGCCTACAAAACAAAAGAAATTTCCTTTCTCCCTGTCGATAGCTTCTCTCTCTTGTTGTCTCCTCCGCTTTCTCCAGTCCTGTGCACTTAATTATGAAATTATGTCTTTTGTCATTTACTGGCTGTTTTCCGCAAAATGCGTTTTCCCCAGATTTCCTTCAACAAATTAATTTTGGTTCACTTTTATTCGGTGAGGTATTTGCAGAGGACTTTGGGCGTATTGATAAGTAGATATTAATTAATTAATTAATTAATATGAAATAAATATATTGGGAAAGTAAATGTAATATGAGAAAATATTAATAACAAAGTAGATAGTATATAGGTAACACATATGTATTTACTGGGTATCTTTCAGTCTATCCAGTTTTCGTTTATTAATTATGTTGGCAGCATTCATGGGGTTGTAGGTGCGGTGCCGAACAGAAACACATGTTGCTAGCTGGCGGAAATTGTTTGAGGGGTGTGTGTTTGGGGGTTTTTCCTGGGGTCTACACTTCTTCTTGAAGACGCGGCGCAACAGCTGGTAACTGTAATTTGGCAACGCCAACTGCCACGCCCACCTCGGCACTTCGCCCACTTTGCTCGCCCCTTCCATGCGTCCTTTTAATTGCGTCTCTCGGTTTTCCGTTTTCCGTTTCTGCGGGGGCGAATTTCTCGTCTTGAACTGCCAAATGAAATTTACATTTTTGACTTCATTTAACTTGGCAACTCTGGCTGAGTGGTGCCTTGTGCGGCACGCTAACATATGCCAATTGACTTGCCACTTGGTAATTTAATATGTGTGCTCCCAGCTCTCAGTTCTCAGCTTTCGACTTTCAGAGTTGGTGAGGCAGCTTTGCCTCGCACCCCTCGTTAATTTTCATCCCGATGTTTTGGCCCCGGGCTGCCAAGGACACCAAAGCCATTGTTCATTCATTCTTGTCACAAAACTGGGCGGCAGATTGTCCAAAGGGGGCGGGGGGCGTGGCGGGTAAATGGGCAAATCAAAGTGAACAATTCACTTGGCCAAATGGCCAAAGTGAACGGTGAACGGTGGACGGTGGACGCGGAGGAGCCATTGTCCGATGGCCTTATGCAACTTTAATTGAATTGCACGCCAAGCTGGAGGGCCAGGACATGGACATGGCGAGGACATGGATATGGGCAAGGACATGGTCGTGCACTGCCAGAACGCGTATTTACAAGCAAACCAAACCAAACCAAACCAAAAACAGGGCTTAAGGCGATAACGAGCTATAATCCGCAAGTACTCGTTTTATTTTTGCTTCTGCCTTTCGCGCTCCCTATTATTAAATTACTTTCAATTTATAAATCCATAAATGCTGTCTCGGCTTGTCAATTTTTCAAATACCAGACTTAAGATTTTCCCAAGTGTGGACTTAGCACAATTTCGATTTGTTGACAGGTCGAGGCGAAGAAATTTTCATTAGATTTATTGATTGCCCAGCACGACGGAGAGTGAGTGGGCCAAATGGTGGATCGCCTCGAGTGGCAGTGGAGCATTTGCCAAATATTAAATTGCTGTGGCGTTTTGTGGGACTCTGAGGTTTTTCCCCATCCATCCATCCATTCAGCAGCCATTTTAATTGTTTTTCTGCGGCTTGTGCCGGTGTTTTTGCCAATTTTGGTTGGCTATAATTAGCATCCAAATAATGTCGTTATAATGCTGATCCATTAAATATGCATTGCTGGCCATTTGGCTGCAGCGGCCAGCGAACTGCACATTAGATGCCAATTAAAATCTGATTTATCGCCGAAGCGGGCAGAAGTGTGAAAGCTGAAAGGGGGCCGCGTTCATCGGCTTTGTCAACAGTTGTGCGGCTAATGCGGCGTATGCGTGATATGACCCGACCAATTATTGATTTTATTCGATTGACCTGATAAAATGTGTCTGTCCGCAAATAGCAAATAGCAAAGTGCTCTGCTAGTGGAAACACCGCTGCCTTTCACCTTTCACTTCTCATCAACTGCACAAAATGGCCGAAAAAGACACAACGGAGCACTAATTTGCAATTAAAATTAAAATTAAAATTGAAAGCGCATGGATATAAGTAAAGGGCTTTTACTGGCAATTTGAAAATTATATGATAAGACCCTGAAAGATAATTTCATTTTTTAGATATTATTGCTATCGTGTAAATGTAGTTATTTTATTTCAATTAACTTCCTCTCATACAAAAAGTATTTGTTTCTTTAAGCCAATTATGGCTTTAGTGGATATTTCAGATGAATAGATGAGTGGCTTTTAGAGGCAGGTGAAACGGAAATGGGCCAGCTCATAAAAGCAAACTCTATTGCTCTCCTTATTCACCACATATTAAATACTTTCCTTTCATGTATGTATATGTATTTGTATATATATATGTATGTATATGTATATGTATGTACGTATACGAGTTTTCCGGGCCGCACACGTTTTCCTTTAAGCCGTACATATGCATATGATGTTTCTGTTTCTATATGCATATTTAATCCGATTTTGCCGTTTGCCGTTTGCCGTTGTTGTTGTTGTTGTTGTTGCTCTTCGGAGGGCGCATTTAATAAAACATTTCAGTATTTCAGTTCAGGTTTCGAATTGTGATGACGACCTGTGATGATTGAGCCTCTGCTTAAGATGTTTTGGCCTCTTTTCATTTTTGCAGTTGCTCGTTGTTATTTATTTTGTTGTTGTTTTTTGCAGTTCATTCTTGTTGTTGTTGTTTACGGCCAGGGCCAAGAGTATCTATCTGGCTGTTGTCGCCATTGTTCCTCCCGGCCAAACAATGCCTATATAGTATATAGTATACGTTCAGTCCAAGATCCCAGTGGCCTGAGGCATTAATTACAACGTTCGCATCGCAGGATGCCC